AATTTACTACAAAAACATGAAACTTGCATATGAAAAACTCTCCCGACACTAAGCAAAGCGCCTCAAGAGAGACTAACGTCGTCTAAGCCTTCACATGCCCTCTTGGGGACTGTCTGCCTCAACGATATCAGTATATAGGCAAGACAACAACGTCTCTCTCTAGGCAATGCACAAACAATGTAATCTCCACGCACAACCAGATCATCACCAGAGACATCTTAACAAGCAACACTGAAATAATCGACAGATATAACGACAGCAGGAGACTGGACATCAGCGAGGCACTACATATTAAGAAGTCCAGACCAGCAAAGAGCCAGAGCTCAACCTCCACAAGCATAACTAGATGAATACATAATTGCATTTCATCCACTTCAGGACCAAGAGCCAACGCAGACACAGCATCCATTAACCCTACTAATACCCCTCCCCCCTTATCCATTTATTCATTGTTATATTTAATACCTCCTTGTTATGGCATTCATCCGCCACCTCACCCAAAGAGTTAATACAATGTTAAACACGGAAAAATTGTCATTGAAAATGTAATGTGTACCTTGCGAAACGCATCCCCATGCGTCAAATTATAATAAAGTGTAAAAATTACCTTGTTTTCCGCGGGCGCCGAAGATCAAACCCCGGCCCCTTGGTCCACGAGTCTAGAGCGCTGTCCACGCACCCACCACCCCTAACAGTTTGGAGAGTTAATTTTTCAATTTCCCCCGACAGTGATTAAAAACTTAAGAAATATTAAGAAGATTTGTGTTAGAATCATTATTCTTACCCTTTCGGTTATACTCTATATATATATATATATATATATATATATATATATATATATATATATATATATATATATATATATATATATATATATATATATGCACTAACTTGCTTAAACACACAAGTTTGAAGGTATACAACCTTAAACAACAACCTCCCACCAGGGGACTCGAACCCTAGCCAGCACAGATGCTTCACAACACCTAGCATAGCTGGTATGCCTTTAACCCACTACACCACTCAGACCCCTAAAAGAGATGGGAATTTCGGGGTATTTAACCCTCCCAACCACCCCCACCTCCCAAGGGCAACCAGAGCAAGTGAGGGGTCACTCACGTTCTTTCATATATATATATATATATATATATATATATATATATATATATATATATATATATATATATATATATATATATATATATATATATATATATCACATGTGTATGTGAGATAAATTTGCACCTTGCATATTCATTCCTGAGTTGAAGATATTCCAAGGTGGAACGAAACGTTGTAGAAAATATACCCATCAATAATCATGACTTCCTTTACCAAGAATTTCGGTAACATGATTGCTCCAACTTAATCCCGAGAGTAAGAAAATAGTTAGAAGCATAGAAAGCGTCTATGCTCTCTATGCAAATAGTACATTTTTCACATACTAGCCGCGGTCGTCGACAAAGCAAGAATGTAAAAAAGTTGTATGCATAGAGTCAGGGGAGGCAGTAAGGGTCTACTAAATGTAAAAACGGGTATGTCGTTTTTCTGTCGAAAATCGACCATCAGCAATAATGTAATGCTTCTCCAAATTGCTTCACTGGAGCAATTTTGATCTCCGTTGCTGGGATGGTTTCCACTGTTGTTTATGTGAGAGCTACAGGCGGTGCTTAGATGAGTTCCTCATTTGAGTAGATAGCCACTGTCGGTGAAACATTTAGCACCGTCGTCCAGCAGTGACCACCACCGTCACCCAACAGTGACCACCACCGTCGTCCAGCAGTGACCACCACCGTCATCCAGCAGTGACCACCACCGTCACCCAGCAGTGACCACCACCGTCACCCAGCAGTGACCACCACCGTCGTCCAGCAGTGACCACCACCGTCACCCAACAGTGACCACCACCGTCACCCAACAGTGACCACCACCGTCACCCAACAGTGACCACCACCGTCACCCAACAGTGACCACCACCGTCACCCAACAGTGACCACCACCGTCACCCAACAGTGACCACCACCGTCGTCCAGCAGTGACCACCACCGTCACCCAACAGTGACCACCACCGTCACCCAACAGTGACCACCACCGTCACCCAACAGTGACCACCACCGTCACCCAACAGTGACTAGCGTTGTCAAGATACCAACCACATTCTACAAACAGCTCTACATACATCTTTCTTCTTTACTCTGTATTAGTGTTGCCTTAAGAGCACTTCACGTCTTGAAAATATAGCAATACCTGATGATATAAAGATTATAGCCTAAAAGCCGACTAATTATATTTACATTATAATAATAATAATGATAATGAGAAAATCCACTAGAGCAATATGGTGGACTTGAGGGAACTCATTGTCAGCCGTATACTCTAACACTGACTTGCAAAAAAAACCATACAAACGTATTTCTACTGAAATCACAGGAAGTCTGGAGCCAGTGCAAGTGTTTACGTGAGACCCACAAGCAGTCCTGTGGAATTTATTTTGTTGCCGCCGGAGGCGGCTAGTTTATTGTGCACCCTATACCCATCCTGTGAGCGGTAGCGCAAAAAGCATTACAGAGGGCACAAAAGGTCTTTATCAGACCTCATCTTAGGATATTACATAAACAATTTCATCTATCCTTCACAGCTTATAGTTACAATGTCAGCTAGTTACTCCTGAGGAAGGGCAGAGTGCTCCTACTCCTTCCGCTCAAACTTTAGAAACACACAGAATTTATATGTTAATGGTGATGATAATAATAACAGAGCCCATTCTCCTGTTTTGGTAGTACCTATAGTACCTACGAGGACCATAGTACAAATACCGACATACAACGCAATTAGAAAGTATAAATCGGAACTATTAAATTTGGACAAACCGGAAAAAATTTTCTACTTACGTTTCAAAGAGAAACTAACCTAACATTCCTAGGCCTAATACACGCTATCTGAGGCCTAATATAGTACATATGTGTACTATACTAGGAATACTTGTTTTTATAGCTTCATTCTTTCGAAGCCTATAACGTGAAAGTACAAAATTCTACTATCTAATTGCTTAGTACGTCAATGTTTGTACTATGGTGCACATAGTTACAAAAAGTGTTATCTAAACACAAGGATGGGTTGCAGTAATAATTTTTATTTAAAAAATATACAGAATACGTACAGTGATTTAATAGCTGTTACATAAAATGCATATTTACTAAAGCCACAATACAAAAAGCGTACTATTTTCCCCATGCATCATAATATAACATAAATACCCAATACTTGGTCAGGCCTACTCATACGAGGCAGGTCCTATTTAGATCCAACTATTTTTACTCGTGTCACGTGTTAAAACTTACTAAATTGTTTGCATCAATAATGGTAGCTCCTAAAATATTCCATCCGCCAACGACCCTCTTTTCCCTACCAATATTTTCGAACATTCTTTTTAAATCGGATTTGACTAATTTTTACGAGTTCTGATGTGGTTTGGCACCCTCATGTACTTGTTCACATTCTCCATAAAAAGGTTTCTCATCTTCTCGTAGCCTTGGATCATATCTTGTCCTACATCTCAAGAGAGTATAAGTTTCCTTATGTCTTTGTAAGAAAGAATCCAAATGTTTCGGATTAACGTTGTCACTCTACGTTGAGTGCTTGAGGGAACTCAAATCCACCATTGTCAGTCAGTAATATCAGTGTATTTCGAGGAAATACTGTCATTTTCACGTAAAATTCGGCAAATCATAAGTACTAGTTTAAATATAGATCTTAATGGAAGGGTAGCAATGTAATGGTTTCGGACCCTGGGACGAATCCTTTACCCCTTTTAAAAAAAGAGTTGTTTATCGCGAGAGAAGTGGACACGGATGTAGTAACATTGTCACGAAGGTGACGACTGGACCAGGCGCAGAGTTCACTCTCAGCTCTGGCCAGCGAGAGGCAACATATAAAGTCAACATTTACCATGTTGTTTACAAGTATTATATCAGTAGATAGTGGGAGGGAGCTGGAGTACTCCCCGAGGGGAAGATGGGGAAGGGAGGCAGCTGGGGTACTCCCCGAGGGAAAGATGGGGAAGGGAGGGAGCTGGGGTACTCCCCGAGGGGAGGATGGGGAAGGGAGGCAGCTGGGGTACTCCCCGAGGGGAAGATGGGGAAGGGAGGCAGCTGGGGTACTCCCCGAGGGGAAGATGGGGAAGGGAGGGAGCTGGGGTACTCCCCGAGGGGAGGATGGGGAAGGGAGGGAGCTGGGGTACTCCCCGAGGGGAGGATGAGGAAGGGAGGGAGCTGGGGTACTCCCCGAAGGGAGGATGAGGAAGGGAGGCAGCTGGGGTACTCCCCGAAGGGAGGATGGGGAAGGGAGCCAGCTGGGGTACTCCCCGAGGGGAAGATGGGGAAGGGAGGGAGCTGGGGTACTCCCCGAGGGGAGGATGAGGAAGGGAGGCAGCTGGGGTACTCCCCGAAGGGAGGATGGGGAAGGGAGCCAGCTGGGGTACTCCCCGAGGGGAGGATGGGGAAGGGAGGGAGCTGGGGTACTCCCCGAGGGGAGGATGGGGAAGGGAGGGAGCTGGGGTAGTCACCGAGGGGAGGATGGGGAAGGGAGGGAGCTGGGGTACTCACCGAGGGGAGGATGGGGAAGGGAGGGAGCTGGGGTACTCACCGAGGGGAGGATGGGGAAGGGAGAGAGTTGGGGTACTCACCGAGGGGAGGATGGGGAAGGGAGGGAGCTGGGGTACTCACCGAGGGGAGGATGGGGAAGGGAGAGAGTTGGGGTACTCACCGAGGGGAGGATGGGGAAGGGAGGGAGCTGGGGTACTCACCGAGGGGAGGATGGGGAAGGGAGAGAGTTGGGGTACTCACCGAGGGGAGGATGGGGAAGGGAGGCAGCTGGGGTACTCCCCGAGGGGAGGATGGGGAAGGGAGGCAGCTGGGGTACTCCCCGAGGGGAGGATGGGGAAGGGAGGCAGCTGGGGTACTCCCCGAGGGGAGGATGGGGAAGGGAGGCAGCTGGGGTACTCACCGAGGGGAGGATGGGGAAGGGAGAGAGTTGGGGTACTCACCGAGGGGAAGTATGAAGAAGAAGGGGAACCAGCAGAGGAGGAAAACGCCGACGACGATGCCCAGCGTCTTGGCCGCCTTCTTCTGCCTGCGGAACTTGGCCATCTTGCCTGGGGGTCCGGCCAGGCGGCGCTCGGGCGAGGTAGATGGTGACTCCTGGTCCTGGGCGGCGTCTCCCTCTTGGTCCTGCCGCCGCTGGGACCTCCCTCGGCCGCCCTCGTCCAGGCGGGTGTCCTGCCAGTTGAGGGGCGTCATGGCCAGCCGCAGGTGGGGCGTCGGGGGCATCAACTTGGCCATGCCCTTGCCCCGGTGCATCCTCAGGCCACGCTTCTCGGGCTCCGGCGGCTTGAGCGGCCCGTTGACCAGACAATGCCCGTTGAGCCCGCCCACGCCCGTGGCCAGCCCGGCTGCCATCCCCGCAGCGATGCCGACGCCCATGCCGCCACGGTGCGCCCGCAGCGTGAGCCTGGCGTCGCCGCCGCGGTGGACCCTGAGCGTGACGGAGGTCTTGGTGGTCTTGACGCCGCGCTCCAGGAACTGGGACTGCTGGATGGCGGCGCGGTAGATGCGCCAGTACACCGCCAGGATGCACAGGCTTGGCAGGTAGAAGGACCCCGTCACCGAGAACAGCACGTACCCGAGCTCCTGGTTCACTGTGCACACCGTCGGGTCGGGGTCGGGCGGAGTCTTCCACCCGAAGGCGGGCCCGATGGATATGACGGTGGCGAGCGCCCACACCGCGGCGATCAGCACGCACATCCGCCGCTCCGTCATGATGGTAGAATACGCAAGCGGCCGCGTCACCCCGATGTAGCGGTCGAGGGAGATGACGCAGAGCGACCAGATGGAGGCCGTGCAGCAGAGCACGTCGGCCGTCGCCCACACCCCGCAGAACACCTCTCCAAAGTACCACTTGCCGGACACCTCGAGGGTGGCGCTGAAGGGCAGGACGGTGGTGCCGAGGAGCAGGTCGGCCACGGCCAGGTTGACGATGAGGTAGTGGGTCGAGGAGCGCAGGTTGCGCGACATGAACACCGCCAGCAGCACCAGCACGTTGCCGCCGATGGTCAGCACCACGATGGTCGCCAGCACCACCGACTTGACCACCGCCTCCACCAGGGCGTTGGTGCTGACGTCAGCCCACGAATCTCCCGCCCTCTCCCTCCCGGGCAGGTACGACGAGGCGTTGACGGCGACGCTGGTGTTGACGTAGGTGTTATCGGCCGGGTCGTCGGGGTAACTGTCGAAATCATAGTCGTCATCGAAAATCCAGGAGGTGTTGAGGAACCTGAGGGTGGTGGGCCCCTGGTACCAGTGGGTGACGTTGGCGGCAGCCATGGTAGCCACCTGCCTCACGCACGCCACCTGCTCCGCTGTACCAGCTGACGATACCAAGCGGCAACACCACTCATCTCTCCCACAGGACGAGGACAACACCACTCATCTCTCCTGCTGGCGGGCCAGCAACGCCACACCATCAACGCCGCACGCGGAGCGAAATAAAGATTTCTCTGCCTGTCTCCGGCGCCGGCCGAGCGGCTCTTGACAGCTTCTCTCATCAAGTTAACATGTTATTTCCATGGGAAATAGCGGCTCTGGGGCTCCGGCTGACCCACACTGTACGACGCTTTCGTGTTCTCACAGTACCTTCTTCCCTGTGGTGTAGTCTCTGGCCCACACTGTATCACCTCACAGATTCTCACGTCTCCTAAGTCTTCAGCAACTACACACTCTCACCCAAGTACCAAATAAACACCTCCTGTGCACGTCCTGAGCGTCTCTTAACACTCTCCAGATGTCTCGTGCATCTGCCACGTTGTCTTGGTGCAAGTGTTCGGGGAATGTACACTGTGCTACGATGTGTCTACAAGCATATCTCCCCCACCTCACCTACCCTTCCGCTGACACTGCCTCAGATGACAAGCTGTGTATGAGCAATGTCAAGAGCCCCTAATCAGATGACAAGCTGTGCCGGGGCTACAGCCCTTAATCTTTCCTTGTTACGTCAAAGTACCGCACACTGATTTACTCGCAAATTATTATCACACGTCACAAACTACTGGCTTTTGTCACACACTGCTATCTCCTGTCACAAACTATAGCCTCTTATCATCAATTATTACATCTTTTACACACAAATGGTTGTTTCATAAGGGGTGCCAGTTTGGTACACACTCAGTCTGCTGCCTGGTGTCACAAACTTTCACTAGACGCCACAAACTGTCACCCAGAGGGGAGGGGGGGGGAGGTTGTAACCTAGTCGTTAGTGTCGTAAACTGTTCATTACCCTCACATATCAATGTGAGGCATCATAAACTGATGCTCGCGTAAAAAACTATTATTTGATTTCGGGCAACTTCTATATACCGCAGTTTTCAGCCAGTATAAGACACTAAAAGCAGGTTTTGTTCTATCACTAAATGCAATGCAACATAGTTTTATCGACTCACAACCTCGTTCAGAGTTGTAAACTGCTGTACGGTGCCACATGAGGCGGCCAGATAACACATTATGGCACTGCGGCAGTCTCTCTCTTTCTCATCTATTGCCAGTACCTAATATACATAAATTATTACGATTAATCTTTTTAAAATTGAATTGTAGATACAAATTAAAAATTTTAAGTTCGTTAACGAACAAAAATATTGCCTTTGTTTCCGTAGAAACGTTATATATTTAATAGTTAATTTGTTTGAGGGAGCAGTTCAATATCTCTGGTCCGCGGTCCTTAGCGTCCCTCGCTGCCTCCCCTCCCTCGCCCCTCACGCGTGAGGGGAAGTCATAGACGCAATAAACCAGCGATTTGTGAACACTGAGGCTTAATATTTATAATGCTCAGAATTCCCAAATACTTGTAACAAGTTTTGTTTACACTCGGACAGCTGTGTTTACACTCAGACAGCTGTGTTTACACTCAGACAACTGTGTTTACACTCAGACAGCTGTGTTTACACTCGAACAGCTGTGTTTATACTCGGACAGCTGTGTTTACACTCGAACAGCTGTGTTTACACTCGAACAGCTGTGTTTACACTCGGACAACTATGTTTACACTTGGACAGCTGTGTTTACAATCGAACAGCTGTGTTTACAATCGAACAGCTGTGTTTACACTCGGGTTTTCTGCTCAAAACTCAACACCACGTTATTTATTTTTCTCTGGTGTAGACTATTGATTCACTTCCTATCATCGTCGTGTTGTTTGCCTTATTATGTCACGTTCTCCAGACACGACGTGCGCCTTCTTGTTTGTTTTGTTTGTAGTAAAGGTTTGTTTGTGGAGGCAGGCCACCACCAGCCTCCCTGCCACCTGAGGAGTCCTCACACCCGCCTCCCCCACAGCACAGTCATGTCCAGGGACTCCCAGCAACAGATGGCGCTGCTAGGATCACGTCCGGGTTCAGATCTCGCGGCAGTCACATGTTTCATACACCTGCAACCTCCAGTTATCCTCTGTTTTCCACATACACTATAAAAGGGATTAATTAATATCTTGTTTGGTTTTGAGACGATAGTCAGAGGAGCGCATGATAAGTTTGGTGCAGTGTGACCGATAGGGGTTGGCTGTCGGGTAGGTGAGAGCGGGTGGCTGGCGGGTGTGTGTGTAGTGCCGCTGTGACCCACACTGACCCGCTCCACGCTCCTGCTGCTGCTGCTGCTGCTGCTGCTGCTGCCTCGCCTCGCGCGCAACTCTAATTTTCTTGTCTGCCTTCACCTCCCTTTACCTTTACCTTCCCCTTGTCTACCCTCGCCTCCCTTATCTATCCCTTGTCTACCCTCGGCTCTCTTACCTTCCCCTTGTCTACCCTCGCCTCCCTTATCTATCCCTTGTCTACCCTCGGCTCTCTTACCTTCCCCTTGTCTACCCTCGCTTCCCTTATCTATCCCTTGTCTACCCTCGGCTCTCTTACCTTCCCCTTGTCTACCCTCGCTTCCCTTATCTATCCCTTGTCTACCCTCGGCTCTCTTACATTCCCCTTGTCTACCCTCGCTTCCCTTATCTATCCCTTGTCTACCCTCGGTTCTCTTACCTTCCCCTTGTCTACCCTTGCCTCCCTTATTTATCCTTTGTCTACCCTCGGCTCTCTTACCTTCCCCTTGTCTGCCCTCGCCTCCCTTATCTATCCCTTGTCTACCCTCGGCTTTCTTACCTTCCCCTTGTCTACCCTCGCCTCCCTTATCTATCCCTTGTCTACCCTCGGCTCTCTTACCTTCCCCTTGTCTACCCTCGCTTACCTTATCTATCCCTTGTCTACCCTCGGCTCTCTTACCTTCCCCTTGTATACCCTCGCTTCCCTTATCTATCCCTTGTCTACCCTCGGCTCTCTTACCTTCCCCTTGTCTACCCTCGCCTCCCTTATTTATCCCTTGTCTACCCTCGGCTCTCTTACCTTCCCCTTGTCTGCCCTCGCCTCCCTTATCTATCCCTTGTCTACCCTCGGCTCTCTTACCTTCCCCTTGTCTGCCCTCGCCTCCCTTATCTATCCCTTGTCTACCCTCGGCTCTCTTACCTTCCCCTTGTCTACCCTCCACTCCCTACCTTCCTCTAGTCTTCTCTTGACACCCCTACCTACCCCTTATCTACCCTCGACTCCCCTACCTTCCCCTTGTGTACCCTCGGCTCCCCTACCTTCCCCTTGTCTATCCTCTGCTCCATTACCTTCCCCTTGTCTACCCTCGAATCCCCTTCCTTCCCCCTGTCTACCCTTGGCTCCCCTATCTCCCCCTTGCCTACCCTCGGCTCCCTTACCTTCTCATTGTCTACCCTTGGCTCTCCTACCTTTTACTTGTCTACCCTTGCCTCCTTTACCTTCCCCTTGCCAACCCTCTTCTCCCCTACCTTCCCCTTGTCTACCCTTGGCTCTCTTACCTTTCCTTTGTCTAACCTCGCCTCTCTTACCTTACTCTCTACACTTGGCTCCCTTACCTTCCCCTTGTCTACTCTTAACTCCCTTACCTTCCCGTTGTCTACCCTTACCTCCCTTACCTTCCCCCTTGTCTACCCTCGGCCCCCCTACCTTCCCCTTGTACTGTATCAATTATACGATGTATGTATGTGATGTAACTATATAACCTGAGCTTGTAAAAGCACCTTCATCGCCTTCAGTGATTAAGTGCTTAATTGCACACTAGTTTCTCTATCAGCTATCTCACCCTGTCATAGTAAAAGAGACAAATGTATGTGAATGCATGTGTGTGTATGTATGTATACATGTATGTATATATGTATATGTGTGTTTGTATGTATGTATATGTATGTGTATAAAGTATATATGGAAGCTGATCAGAATTACATTTCACCTTTGTAAATGCACATTAATGACACTATGTAAAAGAGACATCGAACACTTTATGTAGGGCATACGTAAATCTGTGTATCTATGTATTTACATATGTAGGTTAGCTTAGCATTTTAAAAGCACCGAATCACCTTCTGTGGCTGAGTGTTCAATAAACCCTTGAACTATATGTTTAACACTTCTCTAACCCTGTCCATGGAGGACAGAAGAAAATGTATATATGCTGGTTAGCATTGTACATGTGTGGCCACGTCTGTGGTAGGAAAAAAACTTCCCCTTGTCTACCCCTACCGTCCCCTTATCTACCCTCGGCTCCCCTACCTTCCCCCTTATCTACCCTCGGCTTCCCTACCTTCCCCTTGTCTACCCTCAGCTCTCTTTCCTTCCCCTTGTCTACCATTGCTTCTCTTACCTTCCCCTTGCCTACCCTTACCTTCCCCCTTGTTTAAACTCGGCTTCCCTACCTTCCCCATTTCTACCTTTGCCTCCCTTACCTTCCCCCTTGTCTACCTTCGACTCCCCTACCTTCCCATTGTCTACCCTCGACTCCCTTACCTTCCCATTGTCAACCCTCAGCTCCCCTACTTTCCCTTTTTCTACCCTTGCCTCCCTTAACTTCCCTTTGTCTACCCTTACCTCCCTTACCTTCCCCTTGTCTACCCTTGGCTTCCTTACCTTCCCCTTGTTTACCCTCAGCCCCCCTTATCTTCAATTTGTCTACCCTCGGCTCTCTTACCTTCCCCTTGTCTACCCTACCTTCTCCTTCTCTAACCTCGGCCCCCTTACCTTCCTCTTATTTACGCTCGGCTCCCTTACCTTCCCCTTGTCTACCCTCGGCTCCCTTACCTTACCATTGTCTACCATCAGTTCCCTTACCTTCCCCTTGTCTACCCTCGACTACTCTACCTTCCCCTTGTCTACTCCTAACTCCCTTACCTTCCTCTTGTCTACCCTCGACTCCCCTACCTTCCCCTTATCTACCCTCAACTCCCCTACCTTCCCCTTCTCTTATCTTGACTCCCTTACCTACCCCTTACCTACCCTCGACTCTCCTACCTTTCCCTTGTCTACCCTTGCTTAACTTACCTTCCCTTGGTCTACCCTCAGCTCCCCTACCTTCCCTTTGTCTACCCTTACCTCCCTTATCTTTCCCCTTGTCTATCCTCGGCTCCCTTACTTTCCCCTTGTCTACCACATTTTGTCTTACCTTCCCCTTGTCTACCCTCGACTCCTCTACCTTCTCTTTGTGTACCCTTGACTCCCTTACCTTCCTCTCTGCTCCCTTACTACCCTCGCCTCCCTTACCTTCCCCTTGTCTACCCTTGGTTCCTCTACCTTCCCCTTGTCTACCCTCATCTTCCCTACCTTCCCCTTGTCTACCCTCAACTCCCTTACCTTCCTTTTGTCTACCCTCGGCTCCCTTACCTTCCCCTTGTCTACCCTCGGCTCCCTTACATTCCCCTTGTCTACCCTCGGCTCCCTTACCTTCCCCTTGTCTACCCTCGGCTCCCCTACCTTCCACCTTGTCTACCCTCGGCTCCCCTACCTTCCACCTTGTCTACCCTTGGTTCCCCTACCTTCCCCCTTGTCTACCCTCGGCTCCTCTTCCTTCCCCTTGTCTACCCTCGCCTCCCTTACCTTCCCCTTGTCTACCCCTACCTTCCCCTTGTCTACCCTCGCCTCCCTCACCAATCATTTGAAATAAGAAAACCAAATTATTAATTAATAAACATTTTAGGATAGACGAAATTTTAGTGAGTATGAGATAAAACTCGCTCTTATCTTCCCACATTTAAGTGTGTCTCTTCTCTGACACACTCTCCCAGCCTGACACACTCTCCCAGCCTGACACACTCTCCCAGCCTGACACACTCTCCCAGCCTGACACACTCTCCCAGCCTGACACACTCTCCCAGCCTGACACACTCTCCCAGCCTGACACACTCTCCCAGCCTCACACACTCTCCCAGCCTCACACACTCTCCCAGCCTCACACACTCTCCCAGCCTCACACACACTCCCAGCCTGACACACTCTCCCAGCCTGACACACTCTCCCAGCCTGACACACTCTCCCAGCCTGACACACTCTCCCAGCCTGACACACTCTCCCAGCCTGACACACACTGCGAAGGACTTGAGAAAACCTCGGAAAGTTTTAAAGGGGAACCTGATCTACCGCTAGAGCTAAGAACACTTTCCGAGCAGAATTCTCAACGGGAAAGATTCATCGAAATAGTAAAGAAAAATGAATGATCCGAAGCTGGCTGCAAGCGCGCTTAAAATATCTAAATTTTGTCTTTAAAGTTCAACACGAACTTGGTGAAGGAAATTACTGCTCGACTTCTACGACAAGATGACATAAATCAAAACAGGACAGGAGTGTGCTGTCACCATATTCCTGTTGGTATCTTTTACTCAAGCTTTTGTATGTGGAATAGTGTTAAGATGGAAGGTGTTCCTCTCAGGAAGTTAAAGTAAGAGGAGGCACACTGGCGTGGAGTGAGGTAGGGAGTGGAGTAGCGCAAGGGTCAGCACTCCCGCTCCTCCTGTTTCAACGACCTGACAGAGCAAGTTGTCTCCTTCAAATCAATGTTTGCAGATGAGGCAAGACTAATGAGAAGAATCAGGACAGGATGGAACTGTATTGCCCTAGAAAAAGAGTCATGACACGTCACAGAGGGCTGAGAAATAGCTACTTGACTTCAACCACATGCATATTAATGAGGATAGAAACAGGAGGGAGAACACCCGTACAGCTGTAAAAAATAAAACGAACATAGATTCTTGCACTTGAAAATAAGTGGGTATATTCTCTAATGCCAGAAGCCCACATCAACAGAATAACGCCAGCAGCTCAAGTCAAACTGGCCAACGTCCGTTTAGCGTTCAAGAAATTGGAATCTCTGCCAGGACTTCGCCTGAATATGCAGTCCAGTCATGGAACCTCCCACCAGAAAAAAAAGAGACATGAAAATGTCCAAAGATATGCAACCAAGGTGGATCGTGAGGTGGTGGGACTGATGTACAAGGAAGCTTGGTCTCCGAACGCTGGGGAGGCTAAACGCAAGGTATTTGGCAGCGGAATACAAAATTGTACGTGGGTTAAATAAAATAAAGAGCATATAGCAAGTTTAAAGCTAAGAACATCAGTAACTAGATCAACCTGTCCTCCGACAAAGAACGTCGCTTTTCGTTCGTATGCGTTACTTCAGGCCAAAAATAGTCGTACTAGAAAATGGAAGCAGCTCGTGAAAGTGACATATTGCCCCGTTTTCTGTTTTGGGTCCTCTGATATGTTAGTAGAG